CATCAAATTTTTCGCTTGTGTATTCTCCTCCATTATCTGTTCTGAAACACTTGATCTTATTTCCAGAAACAAGTTCCACCCGTGCTTTGAAGTTTTTGAAAGTTAAAAGCACATCTGACTTCTTCTTAATAGGGTACATCCAACATCTCATGGAGTAATCATCAATAAATGAGACAAAATATTTTGCTCCACCTAGGGATGTAACGGGTGCTTGCCATACGTCAGAATGAACCAATTCTAGAACACTTTTTCCTCTAGAATTTGATGTGTTGAATTTCAACCGGTGATGTTTACTTGATATGCAATGCTCACACAAAGGAAGTGTTATCTTTGTTAAGCCTGGAAGTAGCTTTTGCTCCACAAGAACTTTCATTCCTTGTTCTGACATGTGTCCAAGTTTCTGATGCCATAACATTGTAGAATCTGAACTACATGAGGCAACAGAGGCTTCAGCTTCTAGCAAAGTCTCTCTCTTCAGCATGTACAAGTTTGCAGTTATCTTTTCGCCTTTCAACACCACAAGCGCTCCACGGAACACCTTCATGATTCCTTTCCGTGTTTCAATCTTGCAATAATCTGTAGGATAATAAATTTTTCTTTAGGCATTTCACGTGCCGCACATCTCGAACAACTTTAATTGTTCCATCGTACATCTTCAATTTGATGGTTCTCACGCCAATGATCTCTAAGGCATGATCATTGCAACTATACACAGATCCTCCTGAGACAGGTTCATAATGATTGAATCATTCTCTTCTTGAGGTCATGTGATATGTTGCTCCTGAATCAATGAGCCATATATCTACAAATCTTTTTCTACATTCCACGGTGGTTGACGCTTCACAGCATAGAGTATCTCCATCATCTGAAGTGTTTGTGGTATTGCCTTATGAATTAGAGTTTTTATTTAGACTCCAACAATCCTTCTTCAAGTGACCCTTCTTTCCATAGTTGTAGTACTTTAAATTCTTATTGCTTCTCGACTTCGATCTACCATGTTTGTGACTGCTGCTTTGGCCACGTTCTGTTGATCTCCCTCTCATCGTTGTCAACGCTTCTGCTTGTTGCAGATTTACTTGTCTGTCTTCCTTGTTCTTGCGCCGATTTTCTTCTTGTAGAACAGCAACTGTAACGTCATCGAAAACTAGACTGGTGGCATTACTGTTTGTCAAGTTGATGATGAGTTGATCATACAAATCCGGTAGACTTTGAAGTAGAAGTTCAGCACGTTCTTGTTCTACTATTTTACAGCTTAAGGATGTAAGCTGAGAAAATAAAGTGTTCAGTGTGTTTAAGTGCTCCGTCACTGAAGTAGATTCTGACATCCGGAGAGTGTACAATTTCCTCTTAGGAAAAATTTTATTGTGCAACGATGTGGCCTCGTACAATTTGGTGAGATGACCCCATATCTCCTTAGCTGTTTTCTTGTACTCAATGCTTGACAATACTTCATCTGCTAATGCTAGATGAAAGTTTGCCATAGCATTCTCGTCCATTTCGATCCATTTGTTGTCTTCTGTGAAATCTACCGGCCTTTCACTGATAGCTGCTAGACAACCGTCTTTCCTCAGGATGGCCTTCATCTTCAATTTCCACAATGAGAAATTTCTCCCATTAAATTTTTCAAAATCAAATTTCGTTGCCATAGCTTCTATTACGGATACCTCCCACTATTTCACTATTGTGAATAGTTCTCTGGAACCTTCAAAGAATGGGTAATACCTTCTTACTTTCTTATGTTGGAGGATCCTCCTTTTGGTGGCAACCACAAAGACAATAAGCAGATATTACACACTCAAATCTGGCTCGAATACCAATTGTTGCGGAAGACGGCTATCGGATAGAGCAAAATCGTAACTGATAATTTGAGAAAATAAAAATGAAGATAAAGAAGACACAAAATTTAACATGGAAAACCCCTAAATAATATAGAGTAAAAACCACGGGCAACGGTAGAAGAATTTCACTATGAGAAAATAGGAATTACAACTTCTCTCAATCTACCAAGGAGAAAATAATGATAATTCTCTCTTGATAAAAAGGAGAAAACAACTCTCAAGAAACTCTCTAAATTCTCTCTAGTATTGGAAGAAAGCTAGAATGCTTTGGGATGATTTTGAAGCCAAATGAGCTAGAGTATTTATAGTTGAAACTTAAGGACTAATCTTATAAATATCCATAAGTTCAATGACTAAATTGTGATTATTCCATTTAATTTTTTCAACAATTTGGTGGCCAATATTTGACCAATTTAGCCGCCCATTAATGATGCCAAATTGTCACCCCATTATGTTGACTAATGCTGCCAACTTTTAACATTGTTCTCCCTTATGGAGAGCTATCTCGTCTTCTTGGAATGATCTCAAGACAAGCATAGCTTGGTCGATCGATAATGGAAAACATGTATGTCCCCTTGATGACACTTGGATCCCATCTCTTCGCCTCTTAAGGTATCATTTGAAAATTCCAAACATGAGCATGGATATAATCTCCTTCTCGGACCTCGTTATCAAAACGATGATTGGGATGAAGACAAGTTTTCAAATATTTTCTATGATGAAGCCATCCCGTATATATGAAGCATCAAAAGTCTAGACTCGATAGACTCTGACGATCAACTTTACTGGAGCTCAAGCACAAGAAAATGTTTCGAAATGAAGATAGCGTACACTTCTTTAGCCGCAAGCACATGGGATTATAACTTGCCAATTTGGAATATTATATGGCAACTACCTGTACCCCAAAACTTAATTTTTTTTCTTTGGTTGTCTTTCAAGCAGAAACTGATGATAAACTTCGAACGCTGCAGACGTTCCATTAGCGGCACCCCTTTTGTCCAAGCTGCCATACTTTTGCAGAAACAACCATGAAAGTTTTGCGTGACTGCAGGGAAGCAATTTGGGATCTTCTTATTCCACCACAGATGGCTAGCTCGTTCTTCTCTAGTGATCTTCAACAGTGGCTTTCTACCAATTTGAACTCAAACTCGACAGTCACTCAATGGGACTTGCCTTGGACCTCGCTATTCGCTTCGATGGTCTGGCAGCTTTGGAAGAACCGCAATGATATGGTCTTCAGCAACACCTCCCAAGTATGTTATGTGATTCTTAGCCGAAGCTTAACATGGGCGTGTTTCTATTCAGAGAGCAGGCTTTGCTCGACCAATGATCATCACCATGCTCCTCAACCGATCAGTTGGCAAGCCCTTGATTCTGGTTGGATTTGCATGATTGTCGATGGATTCGTTAACTCGACCACAAAACAAGGAACCATTGGAGGAGTGTTTTGAGACCATGAAGGGCGATGGTTACTTAGATTCAATAAATTCATTGGGATTATGCAACCTCTCTAAGCAGAGCTTTGGGCAATCTACACTGGCTTACTTGCTTGGAAAATGGTTTTGAGTTCCTCTCGATCCAAACAGATTCCCTCGAAGCAACAAAACTCTTGAACCAAACGGATACGGCCTTCAGCTCTTTATCTCTTGTTCGGGCCATTGATAAGTTTCAGAGACAGGCTTGGGTGGCATTTATCAACTGGATTCCAAGAAAGGGCAACATGCTTGTTGACGCCTTAGCCAAATCTGCTGATTTAAGTAATCGTAACACTGTTATTTTTGAAAGCCTGTCTGATAAGTTTTGAACTCCTAGATGTAAATAGCAAGTAGGGCTGAGCAACGAAATCGAGAAAATCGAAAAATCGATACGAATCGAGTAAAACGGTTCGGTTCGGTTCGGTTTGGCTTTAAACGGTTCGGTTTTTGGTTCGATTTAAAGGCTTTATTTTTTTGATTCGGTTCGGTTCGGGTTTTCCATATGGAACCCATTTATTCCATATTGAACCGAATAGGCAATTTTTGTAAAAAAAATTATAGTTTCAAGTGATTTTTTTATTGAAAAACCGATAAACCGAACCGAACCGAACCGAAAAACTCGAACCGTTAAAAAAACTAAACCAAACCGAAAAAACCGGTTTCGATTTTTTCAGTTTTTTAACTATTCGGTTTCGGTTTCGGTTTAAATATTGAAAATCCGTTTATTTCGGTTCGATTCAATTTTTGGTAAAAAACTGAACTGAACCGAACCGAATACACCCCTAATAACAATGATATATACATGATGTAATCTTTCGCTTTTACTGGCTTCTCATCTCAATTAAAAAATTAAATAATAAAATTAATAAAATTAAATAATGGATGATTATATTAAAATTCTCACAAATTGAGTAAATTGACTATGATTACATGATTAGTCACTTATGTTTGTGTTTTATCCATTATTCTTTATTGATTTTTAAAAACATAATATATGATCACTTTTTTTTATTTAATTAAGATGTGGTCACCACGAGTTAATTGTCGTTAACAACAATTAAATATTTTGATATAATCACATATTTGGTCCCTGTTATTTACATATTCTCTTAATTTAGTTATATTTTTAATAAATTAAAATATATTTAATACTCCAATCGAATGATATCATGTGTCATTAGTGTCACATGTCGTGTCATATGTCATCATTCGTTAGGAGGACTAACTTTATTAATTTAATATATTAAATTTATTTTAATTTATTAAAAGTACAATTAAATTAAAATAAAGTTAGTCATCCAATCAAATGATGACACGTGACATGACACGTGACACTAATAACACATGACATTATTCGATTGAATGATTAAATTTATTTTAATTTATTAAAAAAAACTAAATTAATAGAATATATAAATAATATTAACCAACTGTGTCATCATGCAAAATATCAGTCACATAATCTATTAATTATTAATAATAGTTAATCTGTAATAATTATTTCTTAATTAAATTTAAAAATAAAAATAATTATATATTATATTATTTTTAAAATTAGTGAATAAAAATAGACAAAAACACAAATATAAATATAAGTGTTAATCCAAATTGACTATCCACCCACCAACTGTTTGACTTTCAGACACATAAAAACCCAGAACTCAAAAGTTTGGCGATCGCTATCGGCGATTTGCTTTTTCGTTTTGGCACAATACAATTTCCTCATCATCTTCTTCACATCGGTAATTAAGATCACGAAGCAATAAAGACGACAGGGGGAGACAGAGGCAGTGAGAGACCAAAGATGGCAGCTTCAATCAACGGAGTCGGAGGTGTTGATTTTGGTGGGCTTTCTTCTTCAAAGTTTCATAAAACAACTCGTTCTTTTTCCCGATCCCCTTGTTTCCGTGTTCGAATGACCATTTCTTCAGATAATAAGAAGACGACTTATACCCTTAAGAAATCTCAAGAAGCTTTCAATGCTGCCATGGTGATTCTCAACGCTTTTCCTTATTTCTCTGCTTACTTGTGGATTGTTTGAATCTTGCCAAGTTGAGGCTGATTATTTGAATTGCTTTTAAATTCGGTTCATTTGATTTGGGTTTTTTTGTGCGTTGAAAGAATGCAAATGATTAGGAAAAGTAACTTTGAATTCGTCGTCATAATATGTCTGGGAAGGGATTTAAATAGCGTCGGGTAGGGGAATAATGACATCGTTATTGTGAAAATTAGCGGTGTCACGCGATTGTTCAGCTATTCTATTTTTCTTTTCTGAAAAATCAGCTCCTTCTAAAAATAATCTACGATACCCACAATGACCCTAATATAATCCTATGTCCGCAACGGTGATAAACGCAATGTGACTAAAAAAACAGTTGCAAGCGCAATTTAAGTCCCTGATCAGGGCTACATTGAATAAGTGGTTACTGATTTCTTATTGCTTCAATGGAACTACGAAAAGAGTCAAACGTATGGAAATTGTAAAAAAAATCTGAAATGGTGTAATGCGGGAGGTTCATGATGTTAGGGTTTTTTTCCTCGTTAGTATTAGCTTTTTTCCTAGTTTTTATTACATCTAATTGGATATTGTTTTGTGACTTGTGTCATTGATATTAAGTTTCGACCTATACCTTATGGATTTGAACCTAGTGAGGTTAGTTTGTAGCGTTCTCTCACTATGTTTTCTCCTATATTATACCTAGACATATGAGTTGAGATATGATTCTGCAAGTATATATAAAAAAGTTTGAAAATTTTAGCATATCCAAATGGGATACACACCCCTACCCGACACACACTGTCGAGTAGATAGCATAGGTTTTCTCTTCCTCTTCCGTCTCTTATTTTGAACCAGTTATTTGTTGAAGTCCTTGAACTCTGACTCCTTCAAGAACTTTTTGTGGTAGAATTTGATGCCTGGAGGTGTAAATTCTCCTGTTCGTGCCTTCAAATCTGTTGGTGGACAGCCAATTTTCATGGACTCGGTTAAGGGTTCTCACATGTGGGACATAGACGGTAATGAGTATATCGACTATGTTGGCTCCTGGGGACCGGCTATAATTGGTCATGCTGATGTTGAGGTTAGCCCTCTTCTTCCTTCAATCTACGTTTTCCTTGTAACATATTCATATCTTGTTTGCATTTTAGTCTCTGTCGAACGTAGTTATTTCTATTTTCATTCTTGTTCATAATTTGAATGACAAATGCCACAAGTTTTTAGTGTCCTTGAATTTTTCAATGTTAATGTTGTTTGGCAATGTTTTTTATTGTTGATAACTTTATTTGCTTTTGTGATTTTGAACTTCATTTTGTTATATGTGATGCAATGTTACTTGGACTCGGCGTTAGTTTTGGACATGGGTATGTATTTGGAGGGTCAAATCCTCACACTCGTGTCCAAATATGCATTGTACAAGGGTATTTCAAGAAAAATGAAAAGTCATCGTAGCATAAACGCAATGATGCATCAACTCAACTCAGAACTAATAAAACAATAATGGAGAGATTGAGAGAAGAGAGTTTACAATTGCTAAATGTATCTGCAGGTGCTTGCATCCCTGTCCGAGACAATGAAGAAAGGAACCAGCTTTGGTGCTCCTTGTCTTCTTGAGAATGTGTTGGCAGAGATGGTAATCTCAGCAGTTCCTAGCATTGAAATGGTTCGGTTTGTAAACTCTGGTACAGAAGCGTGTATGGGTGTGCTCCGCCTTGCCCGTGCCTTTACTGGCCGAGAAAAGATCATCAAATTTGAAGGTTGTTACCACGGCCATGCTGATCCGTTTCTTGTCAAGGCAGGTAGTGGGGTTGTTACCCTAGGGCTACCCGACTCTCCCGGTGTTCCGAAAGCAACCACTTCTGGAACCCTAACTGCCCCTTACAATGATATATTAGCTGTCGAAAGTCTCTTTAACAGTAACAAAGGTGAAATTGCAGCGATTATTCTTGAACCTGTTGTTGGCAACTCTGGCTTTATTACCCCTAAATCAGAATTCCTTGAAGCCATTTGTCACCTAACCAAGGAAAACAATGCTCTCCTCATCTTTGATGAAGTGATGACCGGATTTCGCTTGTCTTATGGTGGGGCACAGGAGTATTTTGGAATAACTCCTGATTTAACAACCTTAGGGAAGATAATTGGTGGTGGTCTGCCAGTTGGTGCATATGGAGGAAGGAGGGAGATTATGGAGATGGTGGCACCAGCGGGACCAATGTACCAGGCTGGGACATTGAGTGGGAACCCATTGGCAATGACAGCCGGGATACAGACCCTTAAGCGGTTGAAAGCGCCAGGAACATATGAATACCTAGATAGGATCACCGGAGATCTTGTAAAGGGCATTTTAAATGCTGGAAAGAAGACAGGACATGCAATTTGTGGAGATCATATTAGAGGGATGTTTGGGTTTTTCTTCAAAGAAGGGCCCGTTCACAACTTCGATGATGCAAAGAAGACTGATGCGGCAAAATTTGCCAGGTTTTACCAGGGAATGCTGCAAGAAGGTGTTTACTTTGCACCTTCACAGTTCGAAGCTGGATTTACAAGCTTGGCACATTCTTCAGAAGACATTGAGAAGACAATTGCAGCCGCCGAGAAAGTTCTAAGCAAGGTTTAACGAGTCTGTTGCAGTGTCTTTAATTGCATTTTCACAGTTTGAAGATGGATTTACTACGCTGAAACATTCTCCCAAAGACACCCAAAAGACAAATTCTGTGGTCGAGAAAGTTCTTAGCAAGATCTAAGGTTAGATATAACAGTAACTTTTAACGGTTGAAATTCTTTGTCCTGCTCTTGTGGTCATACTTTTCTGTTGCATGATTGAGCTTTTTTTCTATCTAATTAAGGCTATTTAGTTGTTGTTTATTGGATAAAGATTTGTAGTAATCTCTTGTTTCTTATAATCTGTATTTTTACTAATAAACCATATGTATCTTGGTAATGTTTGAGTTGATTTTCAGGCTTGTTTACATCCTGAGCTCGCATTTCTTTTCAGCCAAATATTTTCTGGGCATCCATTTTGAAATCTTGGTTTGGTATAATTGCCAACTTAGTTTGGACTTAGATGAGTTGGTTCATGATAATGGGTTTAAAGCAGAATTTAAAATTTTCAAGTTCATCGAGTTTGAAATTGAGTTCATGTTCATGCTTTACTAAGTTAATCGAGCTGTCTTGGATCAAACCCACATTTTAAACTGGAAGTTAATCAAGCTCATGTTGGGTTTCAAGACCTATTATTTGAGTCAAACTCTTATTACAGCTTGAGCTTGGCTCAAATCTCTATACCCTAAATCAGTGTTAAAAAGGACATAATCAAGAATGCAATGTAAACACCAAACAGAATTCATCATTAGTATTTTATGTATTAGGGTTTAGGATTTAGATTTCATTTTATTAATGTCATTTTTGTTTGGCTACCAAATTTTGACACAAGTTAGTATGTAAAACAAAATAAAAAAGACAAAAATAACAAAAAAAATTGAACAGGCATGCCTTTCTACACCTCCACGTATTAGGCGTGCCTTGCTGCGCTTAATTGAAATCGCCTCGCCTAGACCCAATTAGGTGCTTCACCCTCGCCTTGCTTTAGCGCCTAGGAATGCCTCAGCTGCTCCTTTTTAAACACGGTCCTAAACTTTCCTTATCAAAATAATGAAAAGCTATAAGCTTTCATGGCACACATGAAAATGCTTATTATTGCATTGCAGGCGGAATAGAAACATTTCATTATTAGTAACGGATAGCATTTTATACAAAGGCATTATCCTTACAATTTGGTGTACATTTCGTCTTTACGTGGAGTAGTCTATACAACTTTACAAATAATTCAAAGCTAATATTTGAAACCAACCAAATAAGTCCTAATGAACCAAAGAAACTAAAAATGCACAGCATTGTCACTCACTCCATTACGAACTTCCACACTTGGGCTTTGGGGTAAACATACACATGTAAATACTCGGAGAGAACGGTTAACTTCTAAACATGGTTTAAGGCATAAACAATTTTCCAGTTCTCCATGCTTGCCTTCATAAAATAGAACACCCACATGCAGTCTTTTTGGGTGAATCATCGATCTTTTCTGTTTTAGACAGAAAACCAAGAATAAGTCGAATATATGAAATGTTACAACGTTGGTGACTCAGATCATTGACCTTAAAGACCAAAAGCAATCCCATTACTAATACTTTCTGGGGTTTAATTGATCTTATCAGTACGCAGAGATGATGAAAGATGCAAAAAAGGATAAATATGGCCTCTTTATAAGTTCATCATGATTCTAGAAGCATGCTCATCAGTGATAAATGATGAAGTTACAGGGAAGACAATATCAGCGGTACACCTAAACACCCTGATTAGCAGTTATAAGAATTCAAAGTTTAGGGTTTTATCTGTGTAGTGCAAGTGCAGATCGGTGTCAAGCAGCCTGTGTCTTCTTTATTGAGAAACCCAAGCTTAAATGGAAATAAATAGGAGATCTTGAGATTTGAAAAGAATAGTTCCTCAGTTGCTTGGACTTCTTGACATGGTTATGTTCAACTTTTACTAATTTTTTTCATATACAAGGAGTGTCATATACTCGTATCACCATAACTATGTCCAAAAATGCATAGGGAACTGTTTAAGAAACTAATACTTGAAGAGAAGTAAAGAGTTGGAGCAACAAAAGATGGTCCAACAAGAAGATAAAGATAAAGAATACCTGTTTTAGCTTTTGTGAGAGATGGCTGTACTACGACATGCATTATGATAGCTCCACCCGGGACTTCACCAAAGGGTACTTTACAGAGACCAACAGTCCTGTTGTTCTCCAAAATTTTACCAGAGCTTATCAACTTTACTTCATTCACTGATTTTGGAACAAGTGTCTTCCCTAAGTAATAGCAGAAGCAACATTTAAGAAAATTAAAACAAAAATGCAATGCAAAATTGATGCATTCTTTGAGGATACTTGGCCATATTAAGAAAACAATCAAGACCATTCTTTTAACAATCCATTTATTCTAATGAGCAAAATTGATGCATTCTTTGAGGATACTTATCTGTATTTGGAAATACAATCAAGACCATTCTTTTAACAATCCATTTATTCAAACGAGAAAAATTGATGCATTTTTTTAGGATACTTAGCTATATTGGAAATACAATCAAGACCATTCTTTTAACAATCCATTTATTCAAATGAGAAAAATTGATGCATTTTTTGAGGATACTTAGCTATATTGGATATCCAATCAAGGCCAATCTTTTAACAATCCATTTATTCAAAAAATAAAACCATGATGAGGATAACATCAATGGAACATTTGTATGACAATATGATGATTTACAACTATAACAAGCATTCAAATCACAGCTCCCTAGCTTAAGGGTGGGTTTCAGATACGTGTATGTGTCCAACAGAGGTACGCTCATTCCATATATTTGGAGGATCTTACTGTTCTACCAGTGTGCAAATATGTGTCAGAAATAATGCAGACATGCATATTCTAGAAAAACTGAAGAGATAGGGTAATATTTAATGTCTAAACATCCAAATGCCTTCCTCTGAATATACATTCATAAGAACATTTTACTACTCATAAAATCATATTGACATGGATTATGCACCAAATTCATAAAATAATATACATACCACACTACAGAAAGAGTATCTCCACTCTTCATTAGGCAATCAATAGGTATTTTTCCGAAGTGAAGGACATGATTTCTCCAAGTTTATCTACCCTAAAACTCTACTACACCCTTCTGCTGTAAAACAACCCTTTCTTAATTCATTTATTGACTGACTAACCCTACTGTCTTCTTCATCAGTCTTCGGGCACAATAATTAGGTTCAAAGCTCTGGCCTGGATTGCTTGTTTCCACCAGTGTGGCAGTGTTCAATAGATAAGTTATTTTTCATATAAATTTAACCCTATGTTTGGATTGACAACAAATAAGGGAAAGGAAAGGAAAGCTAAGGAAATGGAAATCCTTTCCTCTGTTTGGATCAATAAAGTGAGGGGAGTTGAATATCCCTTCCTTTTCCTTGAAATACCTTGTTTTCATTTACCCCATTTTTTTATCCTCTTAACTCTTACATAAGTAATTTCATAATGAGATTAGAAATGGAAAATTTTATGATAATCAGTCTTTTGCTTTCATTTCCACAGATTAACCAAACGAAGTCCGGAAGTTCCTTTACTTTTCTTTTCCTTTCCTTCGCTAATTTAGACTATCCAAACAAAATATGGGTGAATCATTTCATTTTCTCAATATTCTTTTCTTTTCCTTTCCTTTATATTTTTTTATCCAAACATGGTGTAATAGAAATTCACCTAAAAATCTTACAAAAAATGTGAAATTCAATAACTAAGCGAACCTAACATCAGAAACATCATAAGTAATTAGAAAAGAAGTGAAAGAAATCAAAAGAGTAAACCTTTAGGCCAATCAGAGACGATTCTTTGCTTAAGTATATTCACCGTCGATGTGGCGGAGTATCGAAACGGTCCGATATCCGACCCATCATAAATCCTGAACTTTATATCCACCAAATCCTCCTCCGACATTTTTGCACCTGCTTCCACTTGTTCAATTCCTCCTCAAATCCACTCACCAACTCATCACCGTCGACGGCTCATCAAATCAAATCCACCGCCTAAATTTTCCACAAACGGAAAACAAAACTGAAAATTCAACTAAATTTTAAATTTAAGTACCGACCAAAAAAATGAAAGGAGTAAAATTCAAACCTGAATTCTAAAGGAATAATTGATTGACTTGAAGCTCCCACTCGAAGGGTTTATTTTTAAAATTTATACTGTATTTTAAGGTACACTAAAAGTTTAGTAATTAAACTATAAGTTTTATTCCGGTTTGATACCTAATTTTTATTTTTAAAAAAAAAATATATAATGTTTATTTTTTTAGTTTGATGTCTCATTATTAAAAAATTAATATAATTATTGACATACTATTTTTTATTTTTAATAATAACTTGATATTATCATACAATAATATGTCAATATCACTATTAAATTTTTAACTGTAGAATATCAAAAGAAAACATAAACTAAAAATATGTATGGTTTGAAATAAAATATAATTTAGATATTAAAATAGAATAAAAATAATAGTTTACTTGGAAAACAGATAGTTTACCCTATTTTTTAAAACTGTTTAAAAGGATTAATGTTTGGTGAAACAAATAAGTCTAGTAATCTTATAAATAGGGATGGGCATAGATCGGGTTTCGGCCAACTCGATTCGACTAAAAAAATATTTCATTCACCCGATCCGATATTTTGAGATAAAATTCGAATCTGATCCGATCCGACCTAAAATAATAAAAAATAGTATTTTTATTAAATAAAAATAATGATTTAATTAAAAAAATAATATATTGAGGAGTATTATTGTAATTATATTTAAATATATAATGTAAAATTATATTATTTTTAAATCAGATATTTTTTACCTTAAATACGAATTTAATTCGACCCGATAGGGTCTGAACCCGTTGGGCTCGGGTCCCATGCTACTTGCAAATAACGCAACAGCTACTTTGAAAACGAAAGTCGTTTTGCTTTCAGTTTCAGTTTCTACAACGTCGTCGTATCAATTGTTTTTACTACGACGTCGTTTCGAAAGTGGGAGTCATTTCTTCCTCTGTCTACTCCTTACACCAATCATAGATAACTAAAGGGGGCAACAAAAAAAAAAAAGAAAAGAAACAGAGGAAGCCGAGAAAGAAGGAAAGGGGGAGAAAACGAAAAGGAAAATGGAGATTACGTGGCAAACTCCTCCTCATGCTTCTCAGAAACAAGATTATGTTCTTTACAGCGGTAAATTAAGGTTTTATTATTAGCAGTTGCCTTTTTAATTAGATTATAGGAGCTCAAGTTTTTGGCGGGAATTTGACAGGGAATAGCCACGTACTACCGTACTACTTTGAGTTCGTCTCTCATGTTAGTTTCTCTCTTCGCTCTATCTGTTTTTCTTTCCCTCTGAATTTGCATGGTAGCAAATCTCTTAAACCCTAATTCGGCATATCTAATAAAAAGTACCTTACTGATTGTTGATTTTGTTCAGGTGAATAAACGATGGGAGGGTAAAACAATAGTGGATTTGTTTTCTCAAGATTTCAGAGGCCGATCTAGAGATATTATGTAATTCATCTCTCTTTTCTTCAAGTTACATGAATGTTTTCTTTTCATATTTAGAAGGATTGATTTGGATCGAAAGGAAATGTGCTATTCTATTTCGTTTTCTTTTCTTGTTCTTATTTCTCTCTTAACCAACACAGTGTTGGTCATACAATAGACTCCAAATTGTTGGTTAGTTTGTTTTATTAATTAATTGAAATGTGTTGCAAGTTTCAAGCAAAGACCTTTATAGAATTTTATTGCAATTGCTTCCTTTAACTATAATTTGCATATGTTTGAATATGTTTACATATTTACATTTTCTGTTATTTGGAAATAATTATTGCAGGTTAGTGCTGTCAAATGTGGACGGATACAAGTGGATGGAGAGAATGTACCTGTTTCCTACATTGTTAAACGATCCCAGAAGATTAGCCACTTCTTACACAGGTTCATCACATATCGCATTCAATGTCTGATCTCATTGAATTTCACTGAATTTTAGAACTTTTTTTTTGTGGGGGTGTGGGTGGGAAGGAGGGTGTTGAATAATTTTGCAAGCAAGAGTTTTTTGTTCATACTTACATCGTTGGAAATAATATTTTCTAGTTTATTTATTTATTTATTTCTCTATGGCTTTTGTATGCTCTGTTTATTTTTTTTTGTGTTCTTCATGATTTCATTTAGAAGTTGTGGAACTTGTAACTGATTCTGCAAAGTTTGTAGCATGAATCACCAGTGATGGGTTGGGATGTTGAGATTCTTCAAAGTGAACCCGATGTACTGACAGTTTGCGAACCTGCATCTGTTCCTGTAAGTCTTTGTCAAGTGTACCCCATTCAACTTTATTAGGCTGTATGTTCGTTGGGGCATCTAAAACGTGCTTATTGATTGGATGAAGAGAGAAGGAACCTTTTTCTCTTCTTGCCATATGATGTAAGTGACTGTGCCTTTATTTAATTTTCTTTGAGTTCAAATGTTCAATTTATTTTGTAATGTTTTTGTAGGTACATCCGTGTGATCAATATCGTAAAAACACAGTTTTGGGTATTCTCCAAGCAGAGCATGGGCTGGCTCCTTTGTATCGATCCAAATCTAGCACCATATGGTGCAAATATTTCACTGTACTTTAAGGCTACTCCTATAGTCTGTTCAAATTAATCTTGTTTGCAGTTTTCGATTTGGTAAAGTTTTGAAAGCAGAGTTTTCTACTTTTTCCTTGACACTATCATCCTAGCCATTCATCGTCTAGATCGTCTGGTCTCGGGACTGCTTATCATGGCCAAAAATCCAGCTATGCTGACATTTTTAGACAGCATGCAAGTCTTCTGCGATTATATATTTAGGGTAAAGTATAGTAATGGTCACTGAACATTTCTGAAGCTTGCATTTAGGTCCCCCAACATTTAAAACTTGCAATACAGTCCCCTAATATTTATTCCGTTTGCAATATGGTCCTCCAACTTAAACCACAGTTAGAAAATTAGGATTAATTATATAAATGGTCATTGAACTTTTCAGTCACTTGAATTTAGGTCTCCCAACTTTTAAAACTTGCAAAACAATCATCAATTTCATTCTAAACCCCAATTTCCAAGTAATTCAATTTTATTCTAAACTCTAAATTCCAAAATACTTAAATTAAATTCAATTATGTCAAATTTATTATTATTTAATTTCATCTTATTTCATGTGATACATATTTTTTATATAAATATAATAGTATAATTCTTATCTGTTGAAGAAATTTTTTAATTAAAAAAAGTAGTTAGGATATAGAAGAGATTGAAAATAATTCGAATTTTAAATTTATAAAATGTTATTTTAACGTATAAATAAAAGTGTAAACTACTCGGTTGACAATTTAACTATCTAGCCCTTTTTACTTTTGTCATCGATCTTTTAAATTTATCAATCATACCACATAATTATTTAACTGTTTCAACTAAGCCACTAGTCGTTACCAATTGATAAAAATGATGATGTGGCAGTTAAAGGAATTGGTATTATTATACATTCAGTCTTTATTATTTATATAATCAATTTGGTCCTAAATTAAATAAAATTTAATAAATTAATCATTTAATTAGGATCTGACATGTGTTAGCACATGATCATGACACGTGTCATTGGTGACACATGTTACCACCTAATTATTTATATATGCTATCAATTTGGTCCTAAATTAAATAAAATTTAATAAATTAATCATTTAATCAGGATCTGACATGTGTTAACACATGATCATGATATGTGTTATTGGTGACACATGTCACCTCCTAATTAGAAGAAATTAAGTTACAAAGAAGTAAAATTTGGGTCTTGGGCAAACTCAAACCTAAGTCACGCAAATGAAAGATACAGGGTGGAGCCACTAAGCTAACACCATCGTTTGTGTTAAGAGATATACAATAATACATATACTAATAGTATGATCAATGCCAGAAAAAAAAAGAATATAATGTAAAATGGAAATAATGAGATTTGAACTTCGGCAAAAAATTTGAAAGCAATAAATGATGGGAAAATATTATATTTTTACAATAAAAAATATTATATTTGATAAATTGTTTGATAGATTTAATATATTTTTAAATATTAGTTGATACAATATTTTAAAAGAATAAATTTAAGATTTATATATTTTTAAACTAAATTAATAATTATTTTTTCATATTTATAATTCATGATTATATATATAATCTTAAGTTGAGTATTTCTAATATAATTAATAATTTTAATTTCTTATTAAAAATAAAATATTCAAAAAATATAAATGATTCATACATTAATATATGAATATATTTTTTATTTATACATCTAAATATAAATATACATTTATATAAATATATTTTTATTCGTTGTGTATGTGCCTTGAACTCTTTCTTCAAGCCTATATTACCTTAAATTGAAGTATTTTAGAATTTAGGGTTTAGAATAAAATTGAATTACTTTGGAAATTGGGGTTTAGAATGAAATTGATGACTGTTTTGCAAGTTTTAAAAGTTGGGGGACCTAAATTCAAGTGACTGAAAAGTTCAATGACCGTTTATATAATTTATCCTAATTTTCTAACTGTGGTTTAAGTTGGGGGACCATATTGCAAACGGAATAAATGTTGGGGGACTGTATTGCAAGTTTTAAATGTTGGGGGACCTAAATGCAAGCTTCAGAAATGTTCAGTGACCATTACTATACTTTACCCATATATTTATATATAAATATATTTATTTGTGTGTGTAGGCAAACATTTTTGCTATTTGTTTTGCTTAAAACTTGTTACTGCTGTGTTGGTAATATGGAACACAAACGACTGTCGATTGCATCCTTTTCCATTTGATATGCTTATCTAAAATTGTTTTAGCAACATGGCCACACGTTGTGCACTATTGCATCATTTGGTAGAATGATAGACTCAAGATGTGCGGTGCATCAAAGATAAAAATTTAACTGCTTTATGAATATGTTTTATCCAGAAATTTTAGACTTTTCATTTTAATCTGAATGTAATGGTTGCGGATTGAATCTGGACTGGTACAGAAACAGTATGCTGCAAAGGTTTTTGGAGTGTTTCCGGAGGGTGAGGTATGCATTCATGTAATTTGGGTCCAAATTTGAATTGTTCTGCTTGTTCAAATTTGATCAAATGCATAGATACTGTCAGAGCTTTTTATTTTTTTGGTTAAACTGGGAAATTCACCAATCAAGTTTTACCTTTTCTTTTTCTTTGGTTTCTTTACATAACGATTAGTGATGAGGAATTGCTTGGTATTGTAAATATTTTTTTGGGTAAATTACATCAGATACCACCGAACTTTAGGCGTTGTATTGTTTATACGCTGAACTTTCAATTTTGCCAATTATAGCACCGAACTTTAATTTTCGTTTCAATTATACTACTGAACCGTTAAATCGTTACGGCACGATGATGTGGTTGGCAGCTGCCGACGTGGCTGATGGCTGCCAACGTAGACACCTCACCAAAACGACGTCGTTTTGAACCTGCTATTAACGATTTAATGCCCAAGTGGCATAATTGAAACGAAAATCGAAGTTCAATGCTATAATTGGAAAAATTGAAAGCTCAGTGATATAAACAATACAACGCCTAAAGTTCAGTGATATCTGATGTAGTTTACCCAATATATTTTATGAGATATAGGTTCTCGCTGCTTTTCTTTGATGTTAGTTCGCCATCTAGAATCAGTGTTTTGTAGAAGAAGCTTCTGCCTTTTTCTTTCTTTTCTAATTCTTGACATTCTCTCCCCCCAGCCCCCAAAAAAATCTCTTTTTCTTTAAAAGAAGTGTTACTTTAAGGTAACTGTATTCAGAAACTTGTCATCTGAATCTTGCAACAATTAACTTGACCTTTTTCAACTGTGTAGGCTGATAGTAATCTGAAAATTGCAAAGTAATTTTTAGTTAAAGCCAAAATATTAGTCATTCAATTATTTATTGATGTTTTAGAGAGATCTGGTGTGACAATGAATTAATCATTAGTTAAATACTTTTGCACTGCCTTCACCTGATGCACATTTTATCCCATTCTACTTTTGTAGTGATTTTCTTTTTCAGCAAGTTGTTGATTCCAATGTAGATTACAATGCTAGAGAGGGAAGGAGCACTGCAGAGGTAAGTGTGTTTCTCCTACATCTACTAATGTGATTATAATTTTGTTTTTCTTCCACTTATTATAGTTGATGTATGCCATGTGCAAGAAAAGGGAAAGATACAGAGGAAAATAGGCCAGTTTAGTTATGAATGTCCGCTTGTATATTTACTGCAATATTATACATTGCACCCCACTAGTTCCTCTCTTTAGTGATGATTTGTATGCAAGGCATATTCGTAGCCCAGAATATGAAAAATGTTTGTTGCTTAATACAAGTTGAAACTAAAGGCTACCTTTTTATTATTATTATTATTTTAAATGGAACACTAGTTGTGCCATTAATTAATTTGTTTAACATTCTGTCCAATTCAATCATAGCCGTGTTTCTCATTATTGTTAATCAAATTAAATCTCTAAGCTTTGAATAACTCAACAAGGCTGTAGGTGATCCATAAATCTTTGAACCGCTAATTATGTAGAGACTTCTTCTCTAAGGCTGAAAGTTTCATGAGGTTTCGAAGGATGTTTCTTATCCATTAGTTTATGATCTGATGAGAGACTTTTCAAATTAGAAAAAAGTGGATTGCGGTTGTACTGAATCGTAGAGCATCTTCTGTTTTATGCAGCTTGGCATCTGTAATGGTGATACTACCTTGAAGGGCAAGGCTGCACGTACAAAGTTTACTAGGATTAGCACCAATGGGACACATAGCATTGTCTTGTGTGAACCAGTTACTGGTCGAACTCATCAAGTAAGATAATGCACAACAAATAAGAAGTAATTTCTGTTGAGACCAGTGAAGGAGATGTTTGTAGTTGTTCTAGTGGACAGGAGATGCTTTTGGATATTTATCTGCACACTAGATCACTTCTAAAATTATGTTACATTCAATTATTTTCTATTTCAACACTCCGGCACTCTGAATTGGCTTTTAAATTTTAAACTGTTTACTACAACTTCGTATCTTGGAATGGCTCTTACTTTTATGTTTCTGTCAATTTAGAAAGTTTCTTGTATTTGTCACTTCTACAGTGAACTTAGTTTTGATATGTCATCTTCTGGATAAGTAATGCATATATCATATTGTTAAGGTTTTGTTAGGAAAACTACTAGATTCATGCATCTTTTTATAAATAGTTTTGCATTTGCTTTTCCCAATAACTTCTTATTTTTCTGACAATTTTTTTATTGTAGATTAGTGTGCATCTGCAGTGTATGGGCCATCCAATAGCCAATGACATGCTTTACCTTTCAGACAATGTTGTTGATCGCTGTACTTTAGGAACAACTGCTAATATAGCTGCAGCTCTTTCTGGCAGCTCTCCTGAAACCAGTTGTGAGAATCATAATGAAGAATACAAGTACTGTAATGAAGATTTCAGCATTGATCCTATGTGTACACACTGTCCTAATTTAGCTCCAGACGGGTAAGACACTTGTGACAACATATGTTCAATATAATCATTCGGTTCTCCTTACAGCCGCATCTATGCTTCTCAATAAAACCGTAGTTATTTAGTTGTATCTTATATTGCAGTTTTCCCCGAGTATTTTGAGAAATTGCTTAAAAAATGTCGACATTCAACTTCTTGATACTTGGTTTTTTGTCCATGCCGTGAGATCATCATAGGACTCCATAAAATATTCTTTGCTACTCATTATGTGAAGTAGAATGTGTAAATACAGAAAGTGATGTGATGTCTTACAAAGAATCTGCTGCATGGCTTGCAACTGTGTCAAAAATTTGGGTCTTTAGAGCACCTCTTATTCCTTTTGATTATCAATGGACATATATACATTACCATGTGCGGAAATATCAACAATGGAAATAATTCATTCTTACTTGATATTTGATAATTGTAAAGTTATGATGTATATACTGTTCTGAATATAGAAAATGAATGTTTTTTTTTTCCAACCAAAATTTGTTGCATTAATTGAAAGTTTCAATGAATTCAAAGGTGCGCTTGATGTGGTCGTTGCAAATCATTTCGACTCTTTAGTTTCTAAACGTTCATGTAAAATCTGATTGGCATGATTAAAATGTAACCCAAAATTATATGCTTGAGTTGAAGCTTGCTTTACGTTATTATCTTCTCTCCTCACATAGACGAGGATGCTCAGACACGATAAGGGTACACTCCTTTGAATTATTACCATTTTCGAAAATACAAATATCTAGAGTTGGAGAAATATGAGAGTTGAAATAGTGACGAATTCATAAATATTTTTTAAGGGAAGATATACATATATTAATACCACGAAATAGGTAGATACAAATAAATTCTCAAAGTTTACACAAATAGTAAGATAGATAATACAGATTTCAGAGTATGTATTTATCCACCGTGAAAGTAAGCTACATCCACCAGTGTAGGGAAGTAAGGCGTTTTGAATTATGTTAATTCAGATTATAACTAAGATACATTCCTTAGTCCTGGTAGCATACATTTTTTATGCAAAATGAAAAGCATAGATGGGGACAAAAGTGGTTTAAATTTATGCACTTTATGATGATTGAATAAAAAGACGACGAAAATCACTAGCTCAAGTGATGCCATGCGGAAGCCATAGCCATGGATAAACGAGATTCAGATATAAAGAGGGGGGGGGGGGGGGGCTTGGTTGCATCAGGGTGATCCATGAACAAAGAAAATGAATAGACTTCACCTACAATCCCACTAAAAAAAAACACTACCTTTTGCTTATGTAACATTGCTCAGCACATCATCCCATCTCTCAACTTTGCAAAACTTGCTAAAGAAATATAAAAATAAAACATAAAGAACGTTTTCTTGACATATTTTAATTATTATCGATTTGCTTTCATCAGATGTACTTGATTTTATCATCGTTCATAATCAATTAAGTGGTTAAATGGTGTTTTGTTCTTCTTTGATGTTCTGGGTTCATGTATGGTGTATGTGTTTTGTTAATGATTAAAAAAATTATGAACATATGTTATCTTGTAATCATCTCATACTAAAAAATAATAATCATAGTCTAATGAAATTAACAAATTAAATTTAAAAATCTTAACATTGATCTCAAATAATTTTTAAGTATATCGAAAATTTTATTAATTAAAATTAAAAATCTCAGTTCGGCTCAAATTTAAACTTTAGATTAGACATTTTGTATTGAATATGACTTATCAGCTTGAATTAGACCCTACATGCTTCTTCCTTGCTCTACATCTTCCAACTATTTTTTGTAAATCATGGATCAAAGTATCAACCTTATCACCAAAATTTTAGTACGTCATTTTATGCATGAGGAATTGCTGTAATCTCAATGAGTTGGAAGAGCTAAGCTTGAAGTAGTACCCCATAAACCTTATCTTGTATAAAGAAAAAAAGAAATAATATTTGCCTATCATTCACGCCAATCTCAATTATCAGACATTTTTTAGTTAGGAGGAATGAGATTTTAGCGATAAAGATCATAAAGTAATTAAAAGCATGACATGCAAAATAACCCCACTTCCATTCAATATGTAGAGCTATTAGTCCCCAAATCTTATCCCTTCAACACTTAACAGATTTACCATTAGTTTAAGATAAATTTATACCATTAGTCGTTGAACTTTAGATATTATCTCGTTGTGGTAATTGAACTATAAAAAGCTTCAATTTTACCACTAAATTTTTCGGATTGATTTTTTTTATCATTTGACCATTAAATCATTAATGTCATGATGAGGCGGCCATTATCTTCTCCATTGTTTGTTTTTTGGAGAATCAACTCCTCCGATTGCCAATATTGATCAATCGCATCCTATCATTGGTCATTGTATGTTGCGAGATTAGTATCAAAACATTCATATTTCACTCATATTTTTTCTCGTTAGATTGATTTTCTACGAAACTCACTTCAAACCAATGGAAATCCATATAAGTGTTCCATTCAATATATAAAGCTATTAGTCCCCAATCTCCTTTGACGGCCATATGACAAGATTAGTTTTTAAAGAATGTTGTGTGTCTTCTTGAAAGAATGTTTCTTATCATTTAAATTTTTGAACAAACATCCCAAATCCATAAAAAAATCCAAGAAAGCCCCGCAAATCCCAAAAATAGTAATTTTTGCGTGTTTAATTTCATGAGTTTTAAAGTGATTTTGGGAGAATCTAAATTAATAAAGGGATAGAGGACGGTGAGAGGAATTTTTTGATATTCAGGGAGGCCAAAAATGACACTAGAGAATGATAATTTCCAATGATGGCTGGAAATGGATGGAAAAAAATCCTAAATTTAATGACCAAATTACCACATCATCCAATTGTTAATGGTCTAAGAACCAATGAAAAAGTATAATTAAAAAGTTTAGTTATGAAAATAAAATATTTTATAGCTTAGTGACCAAAACGACACAAATCCTTAAGTTAGTAACTAATGATATAGTTTACTCTTATTTTAATTGTTGGATCATTTAATAAAAGTGTAATAAAAAAATAGCTCAAACGCTTATTAAAATGATCATTTGTCTCCAATTGTTTTTGAGAATTTTGCACCCCCCAAAATTTCATTTTAGGGTAAAAATAACTCTGACGTCTGACTAAATAAACATTTTGACTTTTATTCTTTTTTCCTAGACAATTTTGGCCATCAATGTTTCTTTTTAGGGTAAAAAGTCCCCTATTTTAAAACATTAGTCATTTGTTAACTAACGATTTCCATACATAGAGGGGCCTTTTGCCTCAAAATGAAACATTGAGGCCAAAATGCTCTAAAAATAATAAGGGATAAAATGACCATCTTGATAGACGTTGGTGGCTAATTTTAACATTATACCTATAATAAACTATATAAAATACAATAATAGAAAATATTAATTTGATTGTATATGTTTTGTCAAAAATGTATAAATATATATTAAAAAAATAGCATGGTTTGCTTCACTATTTTCATTTTTGGTTGACAAAAAATGGTATCAGTCTTGGTGTTGGTCGCCAACAGATGGTATTTCTTGTTTTCCATTTATTTTCTTATATCACATCTTTGTTTTCTAATAACCTTGTCTTTATGGCACACTTTCTTCTACCTTTCAACACATATTCGATCTTCTTCATTGATAATTTAACTATTATTTTTGTTTAATTTTCTCAAGATTGGATTTGACGTCACCGCGACTGATCAGGATGTCACTTATAAATTATCATGTTGGTCATCTCTGCTTTGGACCCTCAGATTGGATTTGGATATGGAGTTTACATTCGTAGATAGTTTTCTTACGATTTTTTACTTTGAGTTGCGTTTATCGGTGGTCAGTTAGTAGTTTGATCCCATGTTATGGTTTATTTGTGCAGTTAGATCTTTTCGTATATATATTTTGTTCAAATTGTTTAGATGGATGTTTCACCTTTTTCTTGTATGATCATTGTATGATCTCAATTGGATAATTTCTTGTATGATCTCATGATTAAATGACGTTTTAGATGTAAAGAAGATATTTTTATGCCACTTTAAGACCCTAAGTAACCTCTTAAAGCTTTATTACATGAGTAGGAACCAAACTAAGACATTTGGGATGAATTTTGGGCGTTTCTCAAGCCTAAACAAGTTATTTCTGGGTTTGAGTTTCAATACTAGATAAATTGGGATGAAATTTAGGGTTTTCCAATTGAGAGTATCAATACTGATGTGAAGAGTATCGATAATGATCTCTTGGTATCGATACTAAAGGTTGTAGTATTGATATTGGATACTTGGTATCGATGTCAGATTCTCGATATCGATACCCTCGGTCTCTATACTGAGTTAATTAGTATCCATACTGAAGATCATGTATCCATATTGAAGGCTTGGTATCATACCCAAAGTGGTTGAGTGACTTCAAGATGTCAAATAGACTCAAGAGTGAGGAAGAACTAAGCTTGAAGTAGTACCCCATAAACCTTATCTTGTATAAAGAAATAATATTTGCCTATCATTCATACCAATCTCAATTATTACATACATTTTTTAGTTAGGAGCAATGAGATTTTAGTGATAAAGATCATAAAGTAATTAAAGGCATGTCATGCAAAATAAAGCTCCCACTTCCATTCAATATATAGAGCTATTAGTCCCCAAATTTTATCCCTTCAACACTTAACAGATTTACCATTAGTTTAAGATAAACTTATACCATTAGTCGTTGAACTTTAGATATTATCTAGTTGTGGTAATTGAACTATAAAAAGCTTCAATTTCACCACTAAACTTTTTGGATTGATTTTTTTATCATTTGACCATTAAATCATTAATGTCATGATGAGGCGGCCATTATCTTCTCCATTGTTTGTTTTTTGGAGAATCAACTCCTCCGATTGTCAATATTGATCAATCGCAGCCTATCATTGGTCATTGTATGTTGCGAGATTAGTATCAAAACATTCATATTTCACTCATATTTTTTCTCGTTAGATTGATTTTCTACAAAACTCACTT